AAGCTGTTAGTAACAAAGAAATCCTATATAATCTTTCAAGGTATTGATGGGTGGTTTTGTTACTATTAATTTTGCTTTTTTCCCCCTTAATTAGGTGGTTAGAAAAAGAATAGACTGTTAGTCCTTGATAACAAACACTGACCTGCTTTGTGCAAACTAAAGCAAGCCTTAATGCTAACAGCTAACAGAAAAAGAATATTATTGCTTAGAGAAGCCAAAATGTGCTCCATCAATCATAATGAATTATCAAATTGAAAAAAAATCCACTTTGGACATTAGAACCTCTGAGTTTTTGGTAATATAAAATCCCATTATATAAATTCTTCATTAAAACTATTTTGAGAGGGGATGTAGCTTGTAAAAGTTTAGATATAAGGTGCCCCCAAAAGCTCATGTGTAGGACAATGCAAAAATTTTTGGAGATGAAATGATTAGATTATGAGAGATATAACCTGATCAGTGGATTTATGCACTGATGTGGATTAAAAGGGTGGAACTGTAGGCACACAGGGTGTGGCAGAAGAAGTAGGTCATTGGGGGTGTACCTTTGGGGTTTACATTTTGTCTTTGGTGAACAGAGCTCTCTGGTTCCTGGCTGTCATGTCATGAGCTGCTTTTCTCTGCCATGCCCTTCCATCATGACAGTCTGCTTCACCAGCACAGAGCTATGGAATTGGCTGACCATAGACTGAACCTCTGAAACCATGAGCCAAAATAAACTTTTCCTCCTCTACTTTGTTCTTGTCAAGTCTTTTTTGCCACAGCAACAAAAAAAAAAACTAGCTAAAACAGCTTATGTGATAGAGCACTTGCCTAGCACATAAGAGGTCTAAGGATCCATCCCTAGTAACCCCCCAAACACACATGTATTTTTACACATTTTAAAGTGCTCATATTGCTTGAGAATCTCACAAATAAGCAACTGGAGAGACAGGCCATTATTATAACCCATGGGTAGTAACTTCAATTTAACCTACATTTCTGAGAGCACCAAGTGCAAGTCTATGGTCTAAATATTTATAATGTTTCTGTCCTGCAAAATTCAGGTATTAAAATCCTAATCCCCAAGTGATGGTAATAAAGTCTTCATTAAAACTATTTTGAGAGGGGATGTAGCTTATAATAGTTTAGATATGAGGTGCCCCCAAAAGCTCATGTGTAAGACAATGCAAAAATTTTTGGAGGTGAAATGATTAGATTATGAGAGATATAACCTGATCAGTGGATTTATGCACTGATGTGGATTAAAAGGGTGGAACTGCAGGCACATAGGCGGTGACAGAAGAAGTAGGTCATTGGGGGTGTACCTTTGGGGGAGGCGATTATGTCACATGGTAAAGCCCTCATGAATGGGGTTAGTGCCCTTACAAAAGAGACCCCAAAGAGATTCTGGCCCCTTCTAGGATGTGAAGACAAGAAACTCTTTTTTTTTTTTTTTTTAATTTATTTATTTATTTTAGTTCTCGGCGGGCGGACACAACATCTTTGCTTGTATGTGGTGCTGAGGATCGAACCCGGGCCGCACACACGCCAGGCGAGCGCGCTACTGCTTGAGCCACATCCCCAGCCCCAAGAAACTCTTGATAAAATAAAAAGTTGGCCCTCACTAGACTGAATCTGTCAGCATTTTTTTTAATATTTATTTTTTAGTTTTCGGCGGACACAACATCTTTGTTTGTATGTGGTGCTGAGGATCGAACCCAGGCCGCACACATGCCAGGCGAGCGCACTACCGCTTGAGCCACATCCCCAGCCCCTCTGTCAGCATCTTGACCTTAAACTTTCCAGCCTCAAGAACTGTGAGAAATAAATTTCTGTTATTTATAAACCATTAGTTTATTGTTTTTGTTTTTATTTTTTGTGTTGATGTAGCAGTCTAAAAGGACTATGGCTCACGACACAGGCATCCTACAGGTCAGTATGCAGATGAGAATGCAGAAGTTCATGGTGTGGACTACTGCTTTACAATGGATTTCACTCTAGTTTGGCTAACATGTGACTAAATCAATAAACAGATCCAATACAATATAAAATAAATAAACACACACACACACACATACATATATAATACATATATAAAACAGCCTAGTAAGATAAAATTATCAACTGCCCAAAGCTATAGTGTCCTACACTCAGTAACTAAGAGGAAACTGCAAAGAGACCATGAACAGCATGTGGTCATTTGGTTAGCTAAAGGCAGAATGAAGAGTAGGACCCAGGGCTCCAATTTCTGAGTTTCAGACCATTACTGTTTAAACAGACGATAACAGTGTACTAAAGAATTACCCACAAAGCTAGCAATAAATTAAGAGTTCACATCTATGTATCCAAGGAAAAACAGCTAGATCTTTGTCTCCAAATTGTTTTTTACAGTATGCTAAAATACCCAGACAGCCCTGAACCTGCAAAAGGAATAAGCATTCTCTAACAGAATATGTATACAACCATGCAGGCATAGAAAACCTACTTTTTTATGTGCAGGTAGGGGGACAAAAGGAAAAAACATCAATGTTGTTGTTGAGCCTGCAATAATAATAAAGGTCTAAAACTCTGGAATGAAATTTTTGCAGGACTATTAACTAAGAAGGACCATTAGAAAATTCTCTGACAAAACAAATTTAATTTAAACAAAGTGTTTGACCAAAATGGCAACTTCAAAAAAAGGCCACAAAAGTTTAAAAAATAAACAAGGTTGACCTTTAGAATAAGTATTTGCCTTGAATGTTAAGATCAATGGTAGCAGTCATTAGATGAATAACCTCACAATGTTTTGGAATACAGCTTAAACTTTCTTTGAATTCAATGCTCTATCAACACATTAAATGTAAAGTTCAATATTTTATAACAATAGGAATATAGAATGACACAGACTTCATTTATCTTGCACAAGCCTTAGTAACAAAAAGAACATTATTTTAATTTATTATAATTTGACCTATAGCTCTTTCTTTTCTTAAAATCATTAAATGGTTCTTAGTACCTCCTTTTCTCACAAAAAAACAAAAACATTGGTTTTTCTCTATGATGGCAACTTTCTAAAATACAAAAACATTATAATCTCCTTGCTAACAATAATAGCCACCATTTATTGAGTGCCGCCTTCTTTCTCTTTTTTTTTTTTGGGGGGGGGGGGGATTGGGGATTGAACTCAGGGGTGCTTTATCACAGAGTCACATCCCTAGCATCACCCACTTTTTATTCTGAGACAGGGTCTCACTGGGTTGCTTAGGGCCTTGATAAATTGCTGAGGCTGGCCTTGAACTTGTGATCCTCCTGCCTCAGCCTCCTGAGTCCCTGAGATTACAGGTGTGTACCACTGTGCCAGGCCTGCTAAATGCCTCTTACTATCTGTGCCACCAGCTTTGTGTGTGTGATTTCACTTAATCTTCAACACACAAAACTCATTAAAAAAAAAATCAACTGAATAGGTCACCCAGCTATAAATTGGGAATTGATATGAACTCAACCTATATGTACTCAGATGCAATAGTCCTTTGCTTATCCACAGGAGGTATATTACAAAATCCTAGGGGATGCCTGAATCTGCAGCTGAGACAGGGTAAAGGTCAGGTAGTCGGTATAGGTAATAAATGATTGAGTGGAGGAGATGAGGAGTGGTTATCAAAGAAAAGACAATATTGCTAAGTTACCCTCCTGTGATTATACTCCCCAGATTACACTCCCTGGCACACTGGGTTGCTAATGATTACCCCCTGTGCTCCTTCTCCTTCCTGCCCTTAGGCATATATACAGAGAAGAAAAAACAGATCATGATTAAAAGGGAGGTCCTGGGATCTATAAGAGAGACAAGACCACCCCCTCCCACAGACACCTAGCTCTGGAGCCCATTCTCTGTGGAGAAGTCTATTGCTGTCACTTTCTTAAATAAAAGTTGCTTCCTGTGCTTGCCTCTGCATTCTCAGGTGTTTAATCTTCAACCCTGGGGAATAAGGACCCATGCCTGATCTCCAAGACCAGTATCACAGCTAGTAATGAACCCTACATTCACTATGTTTTTTCCCATACATACATACCTTTGATAAAATTTAGTTTATAAGTTGGGTACAATAAGAAATTAACAATAACTTATAAGAAGAAGAAATAATACATGATAATAAAAGTTATGTGAATGTGTGGTCTCTCCTTTCTCTTTCTCTCCATACTGTACTCACCCTTTCAGATCATGATTACCCACAGGTAACTGAAACTCCAGAAGGTGAAACCACAGACAGTGGGGACAACTCTGAGACTGAGTTGTTCCTGCATTCTTTCTAACTTAAACAGGCATACATTCAAGTCACTGCGGCATCAGGACTGACCTGAGGGACATCAAGCATTGAGCCCAAGAGAACTCAAGAATATCCAATAGTGTTTTGTCCCTTGATATCTGATTAGAAATATACAAATGTGGGAGCAATTCTTAGTAGACATAGGAAAAAAAAAATCTCTATCTTGACATCATTCTCCAAAAAACATATGAGGTAATTCTTTTCTTTTTCTTCATTTTTTTGATTTTTTTTCCTTGGGTGGGGGCTGTATCACTGAACTGCATCCCTCTTCCTTTTCATTATTCATTTATTTTTAATTTTGATTGCTGAGATTGGCCTCAAACTTGCAATCCTCCGGCCTCTCCTTCAGTTTCTGGGATTACAAGCATGTGCCACCACTCTCAGCTATGGAGTAATTCTTAACCTTTTTAGGAATCTGAAAAGCTATGGCTCTCTATTCCAGATGTTCACATACAAAATCTGTATTATTTTAGAAGGTTCAGACTCCTAAAGCCCATTTGTGTATGTCAGATTAAAAATTCCCAATTGATTGGAAATTTTATAACTGAGAATCAACAAAATGAGGTTTAAAAAGTACAAACCAAAACAGAATTCTTTGGAAATTATTTGAAATGTTAGCATCACTCCAGTCACGTAAATAATTCTTCTGACAGGTTTACTACAAATAGCAGGAAAGAAGGGAAGTTGAGATGCCACTGTTGAGACACTTACCGTTTTCCTGTACAATTCTTGTGATTCAGACCGCCAACCTTGTTTATGGCAGACCAGGCTGTGAGAGCCACATATGGCAAAGAGGCAGCTTGAGTATGCGTGAGTGATTTGGGTTTGTGAGAGACCTAGATTTGAAGACAACAGTCAAAAATAAGCAAAGACTTGCATACCTATGAACACAATAAAGCACATTGACCTTCACAGAAATTCAACTATTTTCAAAGGTAAAGCTGGAAAAGTCTTCCAGGTTCAGTGTTTATTGAACATCTTATCCCAGTGGCTGTCTAGCTGCCTCACAGAGGCAGTTTAGTAATGTTTAGGCTACATGATTAGATATAGCTACTTCACTGTTTATAAAAAGACCACAAGCAATAATCTCATTAGTCCTGATCATATCCAGATATAATCCCAAATAAACCTCCTCGAACCCTTGTAAACATATTCTAACCGACTGCTTCTCTTACTCCCATTTTCTGCAAAGTAATCTTTCTAGGCTTTTTCCAATCTCAAACACCCCCTTTTCCCTTCTAACCTCCCTTCTGTAGCCAATTTCCTCAACATTAACTCCTCCCTTTCTCTCTATTCAAATTGTCAGGTCTTCTGATTATATTTGATTAGACTCTTGTTTTTAAAGATATTCAAAACAGCTTGATACTTCCATGCCTCTGTTTATGATTAATCCAAATTCCCTCTGGGTGTGTTTGGTTTCAACTATTTATACTGCGAAGAACAAAGAAGCTCAGCAGGGTTCTAGACCTCATTCCAAATCCCTGTTCCATGAGGCAAAGCTAACTGCTCTGGCAAGCAGTGTTATTAAATGACACCAAAGAACTTTTCAATCTTTCAAAAACTCCTATTGTTTATTTTAACTTTCTCAAAATTGCCCATAAAACATGAACCCAATCTGAAAAACAACCAATTATTGCAGAGATATTTGTCAGTCTTTGTTTAAACTTTCTAATGGCACTTTAGCAGAGATGGTAAGTTACCTCATTCCCACTGACCACAACAAATTCTGAGAAAGTGCCTTGTTTCCAAGGAGGAACTGCGGCCCAGACCTGAAACACACACAGACACACAGCTTCACTGGAGACATGGATATGTTCTTATCAAAGTTTTGCCCTTTGAGATAGCTCCAAGCAAAGGACTTATTTTCATGTGATAAATTTCTTGGTATGATTCTGAATTAAGTCAAACCACACTGGAGGCAGGCGCCAGTGTATCCTGCAGTGTTGACTGACTACTAAGAGTTCTAGAGAGTCCACAATCTTTGGGATTTGAACCTTGGCCCTAATCTTACTAGGTATGGGACTTTTTTTTTAATAGTGTGATTTCCTCTTCTATAACCTGGGCCTACCTGTACCTATCTTACAGGGAATAGTTATCATTTGAAAAGTAATCAGGACATCACTAGCTTTTATTACAAGCTCACTACAATCTCTTGGCACAAATGTTCAACATGACAGATGACAGATCACATCAAATTTCAGATATTTTACCACTGAATCCAGAAGGTAGTAATTGTCATTTCGAGATTCTTTCAAGAAAAAACTTCATAAGAAAAATAGTCCCAATCCTATGTGTTTTCAAGTCTTATGATTCTTTTTGTGGGGAGGGCGGTACCGAGGATTTAACTCAGGGGCACTCAACCACTGAGCCACATCCCCAGCCCTATTTTGTATTTTATTTAGAGATAGGGTCTCACTGAGTTGCTTAGCCCCTTGCTTTTGCTGAGGCTGGCTTTGAACTTGCGATCTTCCTGCCTCAGCCTCCCAAGCCGCTAGAAGTCTTATGATTCTTAAGCACAAAATTTAGAAAACTCTAGTATAGTCAAGCTATTTTTTCATTATTTGGAAAAAAAAATGTAACAACAGAACAAAGGAAATGAGGGTTCCAGCCAAAGGTCAGAACATTTATTGAAGAGAAGAAAACCAGTCAATGGTGTAGAATATACTTCTAAAAAAGGCACAATAAAATATGCACATTTAGAAAAGTAATAAAAAATAAGGAAGAAAAAGATTAACTTACCTCATCTCCAGGCTTGAAATACTTCACATCAAGCCCGCACTCCATCACCACACCAGAGACATCCCGGCCCAGAGTTAGAGGAAATTCATCTCCTTTTCTTTTAATATGTAAAGGATCACGCTTCATATTTAAAGCTGTCACTCCATAACCACCTACAAAACACAATTTATCTATTTCCTCCAAGACTAAGGACAGAATGATTTTAAAACTAACATAAGATAACAACCCAGGTAAAATGTTAGAGTCTCAAGATAAAGATTATGAAACAAAAACTTTATAATATTCTGCCATCATTATGAAAAAATATAAAAACAATGAGTGCTGTTCCATTCAAAGAAAATCAGGTGGAAAATCACAATCACTTATGAAACTAAAGCCACCATTATTCAAAATTTCTTTGAAACTCAAGTTTGTTTGTGTTTTGTAGTACCGAGGATTAAACTCAGGGGCACTTGACCACTGAGCCACATTCCAGCCCTTTTTTGTATTTTATATGGAGACAGGGTCTCATTGAATTGCTTACCACCTCACTTTTTGCTGAGGTTGGCTTTGAACTCATGATCCTCCTGTCTCAGCCTCCCAAGTTGTTAGGATTACAGGCAATGACACTACACCCATCGAAACTCAACTTTTAAAACTATCTTCAGTATTTTTAGTATTGTCTTTTATATATTTTGCTCTTTGAAGGTAGTATCTTTATTCATTTATTCATTCATACACTTTGTAAATAATAAAGACGTTTGGTGCCAAGTCTGGTGAAGACAACAAACATTAATACTATTAAAAGTTAATGAACAGAAGATACTGGTATACGTAAAAAATTTTAAGGAACACACAAAGCATGGCTATAAAGTACTTAACTCTGATACCGGTCTAAGAGTGATAGTCCCTATCTCCTAAAAAAATCTTCCTAGAAAAACAATTTTGGAAAAAGTACAGAGATTCTTAAAAAGGAACATAGACTCTAAGCTGCCTCTATTCTGATACGTTAAGTCAGGTTGGTTACTTAATTTCTAAGAATATTTACATAAATATCAGCTACATAAAACTACAAACAACCATAATCTTTGGTTCAAATAAATTGGCTACTCTATCTGCAATAATCCTATGTAGTTCATTATAAAGCATCAATCTATAAAATACCTTTTCTAAGATACAAAATTGTTACCCTCTCTTCTGCCTCACATACTTCTGAGAATATTCCTCTTATATTAGGTTCTTCAAGACAGGTACCCTGTCTAACCCTCTGCCCCCACTGTCATATACCTCTCCCTGCCACACAACATGTATGCAGAATCACCAACCCTCTCCAAGTCTACCCTTGCCCCTTGGCCACTCCTGGCCAGAAGCTGGGGTTGGGGGCAACATTATATCTCAATTATGGGAAACATCCAGCAAGGGATCCCGAGAACACTTGGCTGGTAAAGTAGGAGGTGCCCTGAAAGCCAAGGGAAGAAGGTCTTTTCAAGATGCCAAATTCTACTGACAGGGAAGAGACAGATTTTCAAATAAGGTCAGAAGCTGCTAGAGGCTTTAACAAGACTTTGTCCAACAACATGGAGACCTTGGTGACCTTGGTAAAAGCAGTTCCTGTGACACTGTATGCTTGAGAGGGAGTGGGAAGCAAGGAATTGAAGCAAGTGAGAAGAATCAACTCTAAAATAGTTGTGTTTATAGAGGAGAGCAGGAAAATGGAGGAGTAGCTGGACAGAGCAACAGAGATAGGATTTTTCAGTGACTTTTTTTTTCTTTTTAAAAAGGGAGAAATTATAGCAATTTTGTATGCCAATTAGAATGATCCAGTAGAAAGGGGAAAACTGATGATGCAGGAGACAATTCTGGAATGAAACCCCAGTAAGTGAGGGGATGACATCAAGAACACAAATAGAGGGTTAGACTTGGGAGCAATGACAATTCATCACAGCAGGAAGGAAAATAGATACAGGGACAGACCCTGACAGGTACACAGTTTGCAGAAGCTGGTTTCCTAATGAAAATCAAGACACACAGGAAAGTGTTTGAAAGTTGGGATAGTTCCAAAAATATCTTAGCTACTGGCCATTGTGTTACATTACACATCTGCCATCTGGCTATGTAGAATTGCAAGCTATCAGGGGGGAAAAAAAAAACTTCACATGTGACATAAATACTGCATGCTTCTCTTTTTCTGTCTTACATTTCTTTTCCACTGCTAAAACACCAACTATTACTCACTGAACCCTTATGTGGTTTGAGCAACAGAAGCAGGCAATTAGCCATGTCAAAGTTTAGCTGTTTCAGGGCTGCAGATAGGTTTCGGTCCTCTCTGAGTTACAGAGCTGGCAGCTCAAGGTTGTTTTTAGAGTTTTCTTGGTAACCCTAGTATGCCCATGTATCAGGTGAGTAGTCCTAGCACACTGGTACTATCTAAAGTGGGCCGGAATGCAGCTAGATGGCAGTTAGTAATGAAGAACCTACTGATGACACAAATGAATGTAGACCTTCAGAGTTCCACCCCGCTACAAAAGTTCAACTTATTCAGAGAAATTGGCCAATTTATAAAATCCTAAATCTGTCATCAGTTTCAAAGACTTTAATCCCATCTAAAAACTTTGTTGGGAAAAAACCCAAACAGTGTGAATATAATGCTGCTGGTAGTATTATTTTCCTATTTTTAAACTTATTCATTGCCTTAGCCATTTCCATGACTTATTATTTTATGTCTAACTGTAGTGGCCATCTTCAGAAAAACAGCCAGTCTTCATCCTTCAAAGTAAAACAGATGTGGCTTCTGCTTTCTTATCAAGGGAAATAACTGCTTCTGAAAGTTTACAATCATCTACTCATTATTTTATTTCCCCAAGCCACCATTTCAGATATCTTCTGCAACAACAATAACACTTGCTCAAAACAAATCCATGGGCAGGCGGAGAACTTGCAAATAATATTACTCAGTCAAGTCATAAAACACTAAGATGTCTCAAGAATACTATATAAAAGTAAAATGTGTTACAGTGTTTTATTAAACAGCAGCTAAGAAAGGTCCAGATGCATTGTACTGAAACAAATATGTATACAACAAAGTGTGCATGCACATCTTGCAAAATGAAATTACCTTCAAGCCCAATGTAAAAAGAATAAAGAATAAAAGAATAAAGTAAAACAACATGCCCAAATAGTCACAGCAATTATTACTTCAAAACAAAAACAAATGTAAATTTAATGAGACAATTATAACCAAGTCATTTCAATTCATTCTTAATAGAGCTTTCTAGCCACAAATACTTTTAAGACTCCAAAGCCTTTGGCCAAATTTCGTCACCGAAAGAAATGTGTAACAGTTACTCCCATCACATTGTCTAGATAGATGTTGTCCATAGAAATCAGATGCACGCTATATGCGTAATTAAAAATTTTCTAGTGGCTATTCAAAAAGTAAAGAGAAACAACCAAAATCAGTATTGCAAATGTTACTGGGTTAACATGTAATTAATATACCATTCTTTTGGGGGTTTGGAGAGTGGATGCTGGGAATTGAACCCAGGTCCTCACACATGGTAGACAACTGTTCTATCACTGAGCTATACCGCCAACCCTGATTTAAAATTCTTTATTTTAATATTTATTTTTTAGTTGTAGTTGGACACATACCTTTATCTATTTATTTTTATGTGATGCTGAGGATTGAACCCAGGGCCTCGCATGTACGTGCTAGGTGAGTGCTCTACTGCGGAGCCACAACCCCAGCCCACTAACTTAAAATTCTTAATGAGACATTTTACATTCCTCTTTTTTTCACTAAATCTTTTATACTGATTGCACTCTCAATTCAGACTATCCATATTCAGCTGCTCGACAGTCACATTTGACTAGTGGTTACCATACTGGAAAAGCACTGGTCTAAACAGTTACTAAGTTAAAAATAGCAGCTTTCAAAATTAGAATAAAATGACCTAACGCCAGTGAATCTGGACTTTATTTCCCTTATTCAGAACTTGTTCAAGTTATCTATGTTCCCAGTCTTTTCAAGGAATCTATGAGATTCCTTTTTTTTTTTCTAGCAATCTATCTTTGTGGGCTGTTTTTTCTTCATTACTTCAAATATCATACTGTAACAGATTGACTACAAAAGTATGTATGAAAATCCAGCTATCTTATTAAACCAGACAGCAAATAGAGATGCAGAAATTTACAATAAAGCTACTCTTCTCACCAACTTTTTGGCTTATTTTGGGAAATAGTTACTTTTCAATATAACCTCTATCAACTACTATTGTTTCAGTGCTTCACATACTTAATTGTCTCCTCCTTGTTATTTTTGTTTCATTTTATATTTTCTCCTGATTTAATTTTATAATGTTACTGTATTTTTAAATAAGTTAATATTTTAAATTTTTGTTCTAATTTCCAATAAGGTAAATATTTATAGCTACAGTTAACATTAAGTGTCCAGTAATTTTTAAGCACAGAGTAGTCTTGAAACTAAAAAATTTGAGAATTGCTACTCTGTCACACCAGTTCTCCATGGGAGGAGAAGGAAATGAAGTCTCAACAGTTTCATAAGTTCCACATCTCTATAAATTCCACAAAATGATTATCTTAATTCTGTAATTGTATTTATATAAAAACAAAGAATTAAATTCATCAAACATAGGTCATATATGAGAATTGTTAATGAGGCAATCTGTTGAATGTAAAAACCATAGGTTTACCCTCAAAACACCTGTCCCTGGTTAAATTAAACTGGATATGGCCATTAACTTAAAACACTGAAGTTAATGCCCTGTAATTTACACTGAGGTTAATGATCACAAAAGATGTTTCTTAATTTTTTCAAAAGACACATAAGACTGACATTTTGGTCAATACTTCCAAAGTTAAAGTAATTCACAAATGCTAAACAATCTTTTGAACTCTAATAAATATAATCTTCACATAGTATGTATTTAAGGAATATAGTGCCAGGTACAGTGGCCCACACCTGTAGTCCTAGTGACTTGGGAAGCCAAAGCAGAATGATCACAAGTTCTAGCTCAGCCTGAGCAATTTAGCAGAACCCTGTCTCAAAATTTTTTAAAGTCGGGGAGGGGGATTCCTGGGAGTGTTAGAGTGCCCCTGGGTTCAATCCCCAGAACCAAAATAAAAAACAAAAAGGAACATAGCTCTTTCCAAGCTTTGTCAGCCCCATCCCAGCAGAAATTAATAGGACAACATTTTGATTTAGAAAGCAGCAAACAGGAACGTGTATTTTCACTGTTGAGGGGGAAAAGTAATAGTAGAAATGAGTAAAATATCCATATCCTAGATACAATCTGTTGCTTTGTCTACTGGACCAATAAAGGAAGTTGTAAGGGGAGAGCAAAGAGGACAGGAATAATTACAAAAAAATGCAAATTCTGAACTGATGTGTAAACATAACCATACCTCTGAAGCCTCTGATAGATCACAGTTTACCACAAAGTTCCCAGGAGAGTATAATAGCAAGTTTGCTGCAGACACAATTCACAAGTACCAATTTACAAACTTGTATTTTGTAAAAGATTAAAGTATATCCTTACCATTGAGATTTTTTAAATTTTGGTAAAACTATTTGCAGAGGCATTAATAAAAACCCAAATGACTCCTTTGTGTTAACCAAAATGTAGTCAAATGCAATAGATCTTTTAAAACTGCAATGAAATTCTGGCTTTGAAAAAGGTAATGAAAAAGTCTTTTCAAAACTTACTTCTCATATTAACATCTATAGGATTTACACTCGCAGCATGTACTTTGATAATAACTTCATTTGGATAGTGTATGATAGGTAACATCATGTTCTGAGTGAAGCGAAGCACTTCATTCTTCCCATATTTATCAATCACCCAAGCGGGCATGACAGTGTTCCTTGGAGAGGTAGTACTAATCTTCCTAACTGAAAGTTTTTGTACGGCTTTGCTTCTCCAGAAGCAGGCAGCAGTACATGCATTTCTTCTCAGTACACAAGTCCTCAAAACTTCCATCGTGAACAGTGTGCTTTGTGCTCCAATAAGATGCAACTGAAGTGGTTCAAGCTCTCACTCCTAAATTCGATCAAATTCTGCCAAACACACTAACCTATTTCAAAATTGAGCACTCGAAAGTGAAATTAACCTAGTGGAGCAAATGAAGGAAGAATACAGACTTGTTATTGTGCTCGTCCCATCAGAAATGCTCCAGTAACGTTCTAGTCAGTGTTCTGTCCATTCTCCTCCCTCCCCCAACAGCGGACAGTCCTTTAAAAGGCAACACAAAGAAAATAGCAAACAAGCAGATGTGCAACCTCCCTAGATCCCTATGCTGTCCTGGAACCCTTGCCGAAACCGGCAGACACTGCCAGCAATCCCGATGCCAAGCAAAACCACCACTTCCCAACACCGCCGCGACCCTAGCCCGGACTCCCCTTGCCTGCCGGCTCTCCTCGCCGCGGGAGGGGGGCCATGTGACGACAGCCAATCGCGTGCGAAGATCATTTCCCCCGGGCTGCAATTCGACCAATCGAAGTGCTCGGTGTAGAAGAGTACCGTGACGAGCGAAGATGGCTGCGCCCAGTAGCCCTGGTGGCGGCTGTTGACCTTCTGTTTCTTTCTGTTACCTGGCCCCTGTGGTGGCAGGCCGAGCAGGAAGACCATGCTGGGCGGAACCCTCCGTGAAGTGAGTGGAATTGGCCTTGGAGGGGGGAGGGGGGACCCCGGACCCCTGGAGGGTGGAAAGATTCGCGGACTCGGTGGACAAGAAGTCTCGGCGCCTGATTGAGGATCTTGTTCCAGCTAGACGCCTTCTTTCTTTGAATTGAATGTGGGTATCCACTCTTTGTGGTCCTTAGGCTGTACGTGCATTGCCCATTCTGGTGGGAGGACCTCACTAGGGGAGATGTCTGCACCGCGGAATTATGGAGTGGAAATGTGCATCCATCGACTTCTTTGTATTAGAAGTTTGCTCAGGCCTTGGTCAAGCCCAGACCCAGGGTCTCTCAGAGTGGACTTTGCCAGATGAGGAGGACTTGGCTGGTCCACTTCAATCTTTGTGTCCCAACAGAAGCAGTTCTTGCTGAAGGGCGCGGCGAATTTGTAGGTTGCAGAATTAAAATGAATAATTGTTGGTTTTTCATTTTTAAAAAGTTATTCTTTAGGCTTCAACTACCGCCAAGATACCTACGATTCCCTACCTCAGTCTCCATGAGCTGGACATCATTTTTGAACACTAAAGTGTATTTGTGAATGCCTTCTGCACATCTCTTCCAGATATCTCATCAGCGAATTAATTTTAACCCAAGTTGTAACAGTACCATAGCTTTTTAACCCCCATCTTCAAAACAAAACCCCTGCTCTTTCTGAATCCTTAATAGTCTTTTTAATAGAATATCCTTTATCCTATTGCTTATTAGAATCTTCTTCATCTTTAACATCCAAGAAATCACCAAGTCTTGTTAATTCCGTCTTGTAAATATGGCTAGAATTTGTTCTCATGTTCCTGCTGTTATGACTTTTATTCTGGTCTCCTTGTTTTCTGGCCCAGATAGCTTAACCTTTAGAACTATCCGAATCCCACTGCTATCACAGTCACTTAGGGCCCTTGTTAGAACTACAACTGTTTCTCACTCTAAATCAGATCTGTGTGGAAAGGATTCTCCAGGCAATTTCTGAGATTCAGAACCTATTCTCTCTTCCATCTTCTTTTGGTATCTCCACCTAAGCTGTCTCTTTTCTTCTGGGCACCCTGGGAGGGTGGAAAGATTGGCCACACACACACACACACACACAAAAAGGCTAGCTGGCAGCCTTTTAGAAAGCTATCAATTATGAGACTTTTAAATCCACATGTTTTAAATAATAAATATTTCTTCCCCAAAATGACATAATTTTACCATCTGAAATTGTATCTGACATACAGTGCTGTCAGTAAAGATCAAGTTTGTTCTTTAAACCCCAAAACTGTTTTAAAATAAAATAAAACCTTTAAAATTATGGTGTCTCCTTTTTCTGTCCTCCCACCCTCCTCATATGCACCTTCTTTTTCGCATGATCCCTTTCTGATGTTGAGTAATTGTAAGAAATAACTTTTGCCTTATGGGGGAAAAAATGAACGATTTAGGAGAACAAACATAAGGGAAGACCAAAAGGTTATCTTGGCATGATCACTTAATCACTACTTTAACAAATATTTATTTATTCCTACTATATGCAATACATTTGGTGGTTATTTTCCCAGACCAAAAAGTATCTTCTTCTTCCCCTCCCCAAGGTATCTTTTATCCATTCATTTTTTTCCCATATTCTCATAATGATGCCCTGAATTCTACCAACTGGAGACTAATTAATTCAGTATACGTTCTCTTTTAAGGAGTACAGATGCCCAGAAGGGTTATACAATTTTTTTTCTTTCATTGTTCTAAATCACATTTCCCTCCTTAGGTAATACCCTTGTTGAGATAACCAACCAATTGAAGTAGGAGAAAATTTGCTGGGAAAGACGTTAGGATGAGGGGCTAAACACTGAATATCTGAGACAATTTAGGAGGTGTAAGTGGAAGCTTATAACAACAGAGGAGCACTGGGAAGATGTACTAAAAGGAGGTCAAATGCCAAATAGGAGGTAAAATTCCCATTTGCAAATTTTACTCTAGTACATTCAGGAGGTGGAGAAGACTCACTTTTACCTTTCTTTTGTGGCATAATCCCAGTGTTTCTAGGGGTCAGATACTAGGCTATACTAATCTGAAAGCTTAATTAATCATATATTTAGTTGACTTCTTGAGGATTTTAATTAAGAAGATTTAATCATTGTTCTCTAGGGGAATAGGTTCCAAATTTTAAACTCAAGTTATTCATTTATTCAGCTAACATTCATTGAGTACCTCTGGGTTCTGGGAACTGCGAGTTAGCATTAGACAGAAACTCCTGCTTTTGTGAAGCCTACATATCTTTTGGTAGGAAAACAAGCATTAAGTAAGAGTTTTCAAAAGTAAATTACATAATTACAGGTAGTTTAAGTACTATGAAGAAAAATTAAGCAGGCTATAGGGGGAGAACTAGTTGGCTTGCTTATGACTTAGTGTAACTGTCAGGGAAGGTTTCTCTGGCTGATATTTAAATAGGTGTTATTTTTTATGTTAGAGTTTGCTGATGAATTGAATGTGGAGTTTGAGGGAAAGAAAAGAATCAAGGAGAATACTTGGGGCTTGGGGCCTGGCAATTGACTAAAATGGTAGCATTTATCAAGATTGGAAAGGATTTAAAAGGCAGTATATTTGGAAGGAAGATGTTCTCAAGAGCTCTCTTTTAGAGCAGGGTGTGGTGGCACATTTCTGTAATCCCAGCTACCTGGGAGGCTAAAGCAAGAGGATCACAAGTTTAGGACTAGCCTGGGCAATTTAGTAAAACCCTGTCTCAGAAGGAATGAAAAAAAGATCTTTTTTGGAGGTGTTAATTTTGAGATAGCTTCTAGATATATAAAATGGTACTTCAGCTAGTAGATGATAAATTTAGAGCTCTCCTAGGAAACAGGTTGGATATGAGGATATAAATTGGTCAGAATATAGAAGATAACTAAGCTGTGTGGCTAGATAATGTCACTTTGGAAGTTCAGTATAAAATTAAAGAAGGCCTAAAACTGTCCAACATTTCTTTCTTTCTTTCTTTCTTTCTTTTGGTACCGGCATTGAACTCAGAGGCACTTAACTGTGAGCCACATCCCTAGCCCTTTTTTTTGTATTTTATTTAGAGACAGGGTTTCACTGAATTGCTTAGACTAACCTCGCTAAGTTGCTGAACCTGGCTTTGAACTTGTGATCCTCCTGCCTCAGCCTTCCAAGCCGCTGGGATTACAGGCATACGTCACTGCACCCAGTTTTAAAACTTCCAACATTTAGAGGTCAGTATTAGAAAGAACGGCTGATGGAAAAAAAAAAAAACTTGAAGGAATGGTCAGAGAGGTAGGAGGAAAACCAATATGACAAGTGCCAGAACACAAGTGAAGAAGTGTTCTAAGGAGGAAACTGTGCCTTGTGTTGGTGCTGCTGAGAAATGCTGTCAAATGGGGACTGAGCATTGACTGCTAGATTTAGGAATGTGCACATTGCTGGTGACCTTGACATGCATGGGGCAGTGAAGACAGAACGTGTCAAAAGACAGAAAGAGTGCCCATCCACTAGACACTCAGCCCTGAAAAGCTCTCTTAAACCTGTATTTATCAAGACAGTTCTTTCCTAAGTGAACCTCTGATGTTATTTCTAAAAATAATAATGTTATCTAGTTAGAGAGAAATAAATACTTCAATGCCTTGTGTAGAGAGAGAAGTATTATAGTCCTTTAAGAGCATGGATTTTGAAAACAAGATCAGGCCTTGGTTGAATCTCAGCTCTGCCTCTTTCTAGCTATGTGACCTCAAGAGGAAATCAGTTCTTTATCTGTAAGATGGAGAAAATAATATAAGCCCCTCAGTGTGAATGTAAAGATGAAATATAAAGCATCTTGGGTGATACCTAGATCGAAATGTTAAATAACTATTATTAAATTTAAGTTTGGTACAGGACAAAAATGCTAAGTATTTACAATTTTCCCTTACCGTACTTTCTATACTTTTTAAGAATGATTCCTGAGGAAGATTTCTCAATTTTTCTAAGGAGATATAATAGTTTTCTATTGCTGAATACAAAACAAATGAGAATAAACTTTGCAATTGAAAATCACAATCTTATTATCCAACAGTTTTGTGGATCAGGTACCCAGGTGTGGAATAGCTGAGTTCTTCGCTCAGTATCACAAGACTAAAATCAACCCCAGTACCAAAAAAACAAACAAACAAAAAATATTGGCCAGGCCTGAGGTTTCATCTGGAGTAGTGTGCAGGTAGGTCCTCATTTGACCTCACTGATTGTCCACAGGATCCATGTCCTTATTCTAAGACTGAGATCACTGTTTCCTTGCTGGCTTCATGGGTAGTAAAATAAATGAGCTTAGTGGGCAGAAGGTGTGGGATGGCAAGAATTAAGGTTTGAAAGATTTTATGGCTATGGATAATGCTGTAGTCTGAGCTATAACTAAGCAAACTGGGTAACTGGGGTAATAAGGAAAAGGAGAAGCTTGTGCAAAGTGAGATCAAGGGACAGAAAGGCTGGGTGTCAGTATACAAGGACCTGAAGTTTGAATTGAACAAGAATAGCAGTAGGAACAATAGTAACTAAGATGACAGAGAGCTGGGTGCTAAAATTGTCTATGATTGAAAGCAAATAGGAGGAGGAAGAGGGGGGAGAGTGATATAATCCCTAAGGTATCTGTTTCACATAAGTTTGGGATTTTTGAAAGAAGGGGAAAGAGAAAGGAATTGAAGAACTAGGAAGACACCTGCCTGCATTCTCTTCTCCCCCATCAGATTCTATGATACATGAAAATGGTGGAAGCTGTGGCCTCAAGGGAAAGCCCAGTTTCCATTAGAGATAAAAGAAGTGCCAGG